TCCAAGCTAAACCACCATTTTAAAGCTGAAAGAATTGAACGGCTGCTTCGTCCTAGTATAGGATGTATCAGCAATGACTGTCCACGATCCCGCCGCGTTATTCGAACCCAAGACCTTCGATCTCAAGCACTAACGCTTAACCTCTAGATCATTGAGCTGACATCCAACGGTTTTAATATTTAACTTCAATTGATCCAAGATCTTGCACATCCCATCATCCGTTTTATTCATTTTATTTCATTCTATATTACAAACAATCCTAAATTAACGTGCTATAATTTGAAACGACTTATTTTAGATAAATTAATTAATATTAATGTTTCTCGATGATCTTACACAATTAAACAGGGCTTTTTTCAGTAAATGAACCTTAAAAGTGGATAAGGAAATGTTTCGTTTTAGTTTCATACTTTTTGATAGGATACATCTATCATCCCAAAAAAGGAATGAAAGAATCAAGAATTGATAGGTTACACTTTTCGTAGATAAATACCGGGTAAACCAGTCAACGCAACTAAATATTAAGTAACTTCTTATGTAATTTATTAACACAAAACTTCTTAACCATCTTAAGTTCACTTAATCTTACTGGAAAATTCTTGAAAAAAAAATTTTCCGACAAGTATTCTAGCTTAAGAATAATCTTGTAACGTAAGATGGATTTCTCTTGGAAACCAAATAATTAAATTTAGTTACCTTCATACTTAAAATGTACTCAAGGTCGATTATTATCAATTAACCTTTGCCAATCTACAGAAGAGTGAATAACAAGGATAAGCAGCTCATATGAATGAAAACTACTTGATGTTTATAAATGTTTCAAGTTAACCAACTAGTTTTGTTCGAAAAATATTTTTTATTCACTAACTACTTAAAAACTAATCAGAAGGGGTTTTTGCGGATATTATTAGTAATTTTAATAGTTGTGATCATGAGTTCATGGAAACCCATAGAAAACCTGAAAGTACTGGACGGCCGTTTCGTATTATTGTAAGACTCCTCGCGCATGAGACCGGTAGGTCCCGAGTTCAAATCTCGCGACGTGGGATCGTGGATATGCACTGCTGAAGAGTCTCACAGTAGGACGAAACGGTTGTTCAGCGCTTCCAGGTTTTTCATGATGGTCTAGCTTGAAATGACTTATGATCTCAACTATTAAAATAATGTAAGTAGTTCAATTTAGAGCAGATAAACATCAATTGTATGTATTACATGATGAATTGCCTGATAAATATTGACTTAAAATTGTTTTAAAGCTATAGATTCTCATTTTTTTATTTAGAATGTTTCTTCTACGAGCAGAATAGTTTAACCATGAAGTTCTCATTGTCTTTCTTGACAAGGTTATCAGTTTTGTAATCGAAGAAAGAAAACAAGCAAACAAACATACAATGATAATCCACCTAGTCAAATACAGTATTATTAAATCTAGTTAAACGTTTATCAATTTTCAGTCATTCTGTTAAATTTCCTACTATGGTATGAATATCTGATAGCTTATAGTTAAAACAAAATAGAAAATAAATTGTTTAACTTTTGAACAACAGAACACAGTCAAACTGGATCAAATAATTATTAAGTATAAACAAATCTAAGCCTATTTGTTTTTGTCATAACGAGTTGTTTGATGTGATTTGTTTATTCTTATTGAAATACATTATTTTTTTTCTAAACAACAGGAGTTCAATTTATCTACTTTTTTTGATTGAGATCATGAACCGATTGATGTCAGATCACCGTTGGAAACCTGGAATCACTGGACGGCCGTTTCGTCTTATTGTGGGACTCCTCAGCAGTGCACATCCACGATCCCGCTCGCGGGATTCAAACACAGGGCCTTCAGTCTCGCACGCGAACGCTTAACCTACTGGACCACTGAGCCGGCATTCAATGGTGATAGTGTCTAACATCAACCAATCCACGAAATTGCGCGACCATCTTCCACTGCACTGAGGTAGACACTTGTTTCTACACGACATGGATTAGCTCCACTTTTCACGGCTTCTAAACAGAACTCTGAGAATTTTCTCACGAAGCTAGTCACTAGGGAACACATGGTAATTATCAGTTTAGGGGTTGTGGAGATCATGAACCGACTGATGTTAGACCACCATTGAAAACCTGGAAGCACTGGACGGCCGTTTATAGACTATAATAAATCGATTATTTATATCAATATAAACAGTTAGGTCATATTTTTAATAGGGGGTTGCGGAAATTGTTACATTTTATTGAAATCATGGATCGATATAAAAGTTAGGTCATCATTAAAATCCTGAAAGCACTTGGTGGCCGTTTAGTCGTAGTATAGGGCTCCTCAGCAGTGAATATATACTATCAGTGATGTGGGACTCGAACCTGAGACCTTCGGTTTCATGCGATCGCTTAACCTCTAGACTAGTGAGACGCTACTCAGTGGTTTTAATGTTCGTAGGACGTTCGGACTGCAGTGTCGTTGTAATTGTGAATTGCTATGAAAGAGTAATTGAAATTTGGTAGGATTGCAATAAGACACGTATCATCCGACGTCGCAGTCTAAAAGGTCATTATCAAGTCAATCGAGCCACAATTGACTTCTAGTAGGACTAATGTCATGTTCATTTAGACCATAGTACTTATAGACCAATTTATAAGGGGGTGACCAGTTTAAATGATGTGACATTACATTCATTTACCTTTTTGTTATTGACTCATTCGGGGTGGAGTGAAGTAACGCTTTAAAGATAACCACATCAGGTTCTATTCAAATAATCACTGATGCAATCCGTTTTTTAAGTACCTTAATTTAGAAAGCTAAGTAATGTCACTAGAACTCATACAAAATACTTGACTTAGAACTGAGTAAACTGCCTTTCTAGAGGTCACTGGATTAAGACAAACTTGATAGTAACTTATTCATTTAGATTTCGTTGTTAACTAATGGATTCTAGCACCACATGCAGTAATCCTAAACTCTTTTATCAGTTACAACAGAGGACGGTTTCAATAATAGTCACAATGAAAAAATGTTTCAATTATAAACCTCACATTATGTAGGTCCTTAGCATATCTTTGATATCAAATTAAACGGGTATTCAGCTTAGACAAATAAATCATCTCCCAGAGTCTACTTGGGACGTAACGTATATGCCAAACTTCAATGATACTAAAATTGTCCGAATACAGTTTTCATAATACTTTTTCAATTATTCCACAACTGGTTATCGAGATCAAACAAAACTTTAGGAAAGATAGAAAGAATACGTTTTATGAAATGAATCTGCAGCTAAAGTAGTAGGCGCTTCATGGAAAGTTGCCTTTACACTATAATATAACAATGTGTGGTATAACAAATTTTCTTTTATTATTATTAAACTGTTTAACAACTATCAACTGAAAAGTGATTTCTAAACTAAAAACTACACCAAATGAATTAACTGAAACAATTTTTAAATTTAAGACGACAAGTTTAAATGTATTCATTTTGTCTTCATTCGCTGGAATATATCATCTTTTATTATCAAGCTGTGCAATCGTATATATATGGTTAAGCACTCGCTCGCGAGACTGATAAGTCCTGGGTTCGACTCTTGGGGCAGGGTTATGGATATGCACTGCTGAGCAGTCCCATACTAGGACGAAATGGTCGTCCAGTTCTTCAAGGTTCTCCATGGTGGTCTAGTTTCAATTGACTTGTGATCTTAACTATTGGAATTTTTTTTGTTTAAGTACTAATTCCCTTAGGAAATGTGGACACAAATAATCAAGATGACGTAATAGAAAGATTGTAATACTAGATTACGTGATACGAATAATAACAATAGATTCAGTGAATGTAATAAGATGATTAAAATGTTTTTGTTACAATAATTAAAGGTCATAGATGTGTGAAAATAAGTCAAGTGATATGATGAGCATTTGAATAAAATAATGAGAATATAAGACATAAGTAAAGGGGGATGAAGTAATAATAATATTATTAATTAAGGCTAAGGTAACGATAACATTAGGACGTACTTCCTTTTTACGCATAGTTATAGTTTGAGCTCATGGATGGTAAGAGCCTCGGCTAATTTCAGAAGTTGAATACGAAGAAGGCTAGGTAGATTTGACCGTATCATATATTACTTACTTACGCCTGTTACTCCCAATGGAGCACAGGCCGCTGACGAGCATTCTCAAACACACTCTGTCCTGGGCCTTCTTTTCTAGTTCCATCCAATTCTTGTTCATTTTTCTCATGTCTATCTCCATTTCTCAAAAGAATGTGTTCTTAGGTCTTCCTCTTTTCCTTTGGCTTTGAGGATTCCATATGAGGGCTTGTCTTGTGAGGCAGTTAGGTACTTTCCTCATTGTGTGTCTTATCCACTCCCGGCGCTTCTTCCTGATTTCTTCCTCCGAATCATATATACAACCTTAAAATTAAGCTGTGTATCCGTAGAATGATTACAATCGATTAGATGTTCAAGTATAGAACTCGTAATTACTTTTCTCTCACTCTTATAGAACTAAACCGAGAAAAGAGACTCCTTTACTGAACTTTATATTTTTTATTTTTAATGTTTAAATAGGAATTATCATCTTGTCAATTCATCATCTTATTACCTTGTCAATACATCAATATTTCAAAAAAGACTTTCTTTTTGTAGTCGCTCATTTTCTTTTTCCAGTTACTATCCACAATAATTCAAATTTCTAATGACGTCTAATCAGTTACTATCCAAAACAATATTATTCATATTGATATTATTAATGATTATTCAATTAACTAATTCAATTACAATCAATATCAATGATACTAATACTAATTATTCTATTGATAATTTAATCAATAATAATAATCATAATAATAATAAATCAATATCCGATCAAATGTTATTAGAAATTTATACAACATGGATTGATTTTGCTAAACATTTTGTTCCTACAGCATTATTTGTTGATCGTTATGTAACAATCATTTATTATATATTAGGTTTTCCTGGTAATTTTATCTCATTAATTATATGGTCTAATAAAAAATGATCAAAGAAAATTCTGCTGCTGTTTATTTAGCTGCATTATCATTAAATGATATAATTGTATTAATATTTGCATTAAATAGAGATTTATCACGTGTATGGCAAATACGTGAATATTTATTACCTGGTTCATGTGAAATACAAAATATTTTATCACCAGCTGTACAATATGCATCACCATTATTTGTACTTGCTTTTACTATTGAACGTTGGTTAGCTATATGTAAACCATTTTATATTGATAGAATATGTAGTTCAAAAAGAGCAATTTATATATGTATCATTATTATCATTAGTACAATCATAGTTTGTTCTGGTTATGCATATATATTTATAACAGAAACAAATACATGTAGTAAACGACATATTAATCCATTAATTATAAGTGTATATTTATCATGTTTAGAAGGTGTATTTGCTGGTGTTGTACCATTATTAGTATTAATATTTAATTGTTTAGTCATTAAAGAATTAGCTAAAGTTCATCATGCTAATAAACAATTAGCTATTATGTCAAATCATTTATCATCATCATCATATTGTTCAACATCTCAATCAAATATAATAAATAATAAAAATTCACCAAAACCTTCATATACTACTACTACTACTCATAATAATAATAATCACCATGGAAATAAAATTAAATTATATTTTAAAAATATTTTCACTAAGCAACTATCATCAAATTCAATAAAATCAAATAAAAAAATTAATAAAAATTCATTAATATCAAATGAAAATTCATTAAATTTTATTCCACAATATAATTCAATCAATTCAATCAATCATAATAAATCAATAATCAATGAAAAATCAATAATTTCTAATCGTAATGATAATAATGAATTAATTCATATAAATTATAATGATTCATATAAAATTTCACATAATAAACGTACTAGTCCAAGTTTTAAATCAACAACATTAATGCTTTTAACAGTTAGTTTTTATACAATTTTAACAACATTACTTGGTGGTCTTGTTTATTTAATTCATCAAACACAAGAAGAGCCTAATATGAATGCAACAGAAAAAGAAGTAAGTTATTGAATATTTATTTATTTATTTTATTTTAACACATAGATATTGGTACAAAGAGGCACCAAATACATATGCGCCACACAAATCTCATTTGATATGTGTGAGGGCTGTGATACCGCCCGAGTGCCCAAACCGAAAGAGGTGGTTATCTTAGGGGGCCACTCCCCGAGCCTTCGACCTGAAGGTGTGATCCACAAGGCAGTGGAGCATCGTGAGGAGATGCAGTCCCATGGTATCCGGTGACCAGCGATTGGTTCATACATCATTTGTTCCCGCAGGATAATGGAGCCCATGTGCACTATTGGTTTGAAATCCGGTTAAAGAGTCGGATATTCGCTTTTCTTCCTCCCATTTTCGTAAACAACACCCCTGCCACGAGAAGGCAGTGATTAGGACTTCCCTGACAGAGGCTGTATACGCGTGGCCATGTGAGAGCATTTCGAGAGGGAGAGCGGACTCTCACTACTCTCGGCCATACCAGGGCATCTGGGGGCATAAGTGTAGTGTCAGGAGTGGGATTCAAACCCACACCCACAGAGCGGACTGCGTCCTGAACGCAGCGCCTTGGACCGCTCGGTCATCCTGAATAATTATCATTAATATTTTCGTTTTATAAAATCCCTTTATATCATTTTGAAAAGAGTGAAAACAAAGGTTCTAGCAAAATAACATGGATTCATTTTATTTCATAGGTTATTGTCTTGGTGACAATTACTTTTTCATTGCATCTTTAATTTTTTTTCGTTTTCCTTAATCTCTTTCTCGCATGTATTACATTAGTGAGTTTGATTTCAACTATCTTCCAAATTAATATTCTTATTTTATTAACTGAGCTCCATTCACTATATTCCTATGAATATTTATTCATTATGCAATTTCGTGGATTGGTTGAAGTTAGATATTAACACCGTTGAATGCCGGCTGGCCCAGTGGTGTAAAGGTTAAGCGCCGGCACGCGAGACTGTGTTCGAATCTGGCGATGCGGGATCATGGATGTGCATTGTTGAGGAGTCCCACAATAGGGCGACACAGCCGCCTAGTGCATCCAGGTTTTCTATAATTGTTTAGTTCCAACTGACTCATGATTTCAATTATAGAAATTTCTGAAATCTTCACAAAACCCCTTCTCATTATATAATCACTTGTTTCTAGCTGTTTGAACTGTTGTCACAATCAATGTTGTAGAATGGTTTTTCATAAAAGGTATATATTTACAATATTCAGTCTATTAATTCTATTTACACCCTTGCAAGACATAATTTCCAACCAAACTCTTTCATGTAAATAATTTAAATCTATTATGTAATTATAATTTTAAATATTACAGGTCGTAAGCAGCTGACGAGAACCAACGAAATTAATAATTTTTGTTTTAGTTAATTTTAGGTTTTTGTTTTGTCTAATCAATTATAAGAAATGATTAGTAAAAATGTTATTTCATCATGTAGAAATGAATATATGTATAGTGTTTTTTATAGCGAGTTAGTTTCCTACAGGATGGGGTCGTTAACCTCATGCCCAAACCTCCTCCTTTATCTGGCCTTGGGACCAGCAGTAGCCCCAGGCGTGCTCCAGGTGGAGTTGTATATATATATATATATGTATATATATGTATATATATATATATATATATATATATATATATATATATATATATTCAATAATTGAATTCATGAGTCAATTAAAGCTAGACATTAATGGAAAACCTTGAAGCACTGGACGGCCGTTTCGTCCTGTTGTAGGTATTCGCAGCAGAGCACATCCACGATCCTGCTTCGCGAGATTTAAATCCAGGACTTATCAGTTTCACGCGCGGACGCTTAACCTTTCGACCACTGAGCCGGAATCCAACAGTGTTAATGTCTCACTTCAACCAATCCACGAAGTTAGGCCAATTGGCGTCACAAAACCCCTGTTTGATTATATATTTATAACATAGACAGACAGGAAGAACAACAAATAAATTTTGAAATCTGTCTTAAAGACAACTCTTATTCTTAAAAGTTTATTCATAAGTGGGAAAATGATTAAAGCAAACTGTTATGTTCTTAATTTATACGATTCTGTGAATACGATTTGCCAAATTTAGATACGCAAACTTATATGACCAACTAATGATGCATACACCTGAACTAATAATATGGAGCTTCTATTGGTCCTTTTCACTGCCTGTTAAATCCAGAACACAAATATCAGACTATGTGATATGAATCATATATTTCAAATATACTGGGTTTATATATAAACCAAACAGATCACATCATAACTTAAAATAAAAATAACATTTGCGCAAGATCACGACAAAATGTGGCTATGATTGTGGGATACTGTAATTAATAAACTAGGCATAACTTAAGAAAAGTAAATCATATAATAAGATGCATATGAATACAGATAGTTTGGCTATTAAACAATTATACAATAAAAACTTATGTATAGTATTAGTCCATAAATAAATCCCAAAAGTTACCATTCATTATTCTCGTCGGGATATAACACACAATTTATTTGTGGTATTGTCGGTTAAAAGATATATTTTTATTCATCATCACTTTAAAAGTGTTGATTTTGAAGAAAGAAACGGTAGAAGGTTTAACACTTATGTAGTCAGAGCTTAACCTGAAACCAAACTATTAAGCCTATATCAGACATATTCTATAATTCAGTTAAATACTGGACAAGTAACCGTTTTCTTTTGACTATCGGCGAGACTCTAATTTATGGACGACCTTTGAATGAATCTTAAATTGGCCTTGATAAATTATTAGCCAATCATAAAACAGCTAGTATAAAGTAAAAATCTATTATAAAAAAAATAAAGAATTAAAGTGAATATACTTCTTTTACATGGTTCAAAAACTTAATAAGATTTGAATGGGGTTCAAAGGTTCTGGAATCCTAGTGCTTCTGACCCTTTGAAGTTTCCCTTTTGGGTTGATCTGTCGTAAATTCCGAGTACCTGTGAGGTATATTTATGGAAGTGTTATTTACCCAGTATTCCTTAATACTACTTCCTCTGTTAAATTTTCGCTTCCGGATTACTGATTCGTCTATTTCAACGATTTTCCCAACTCCTCCAAATGACTCGTGTAAACTTGTCATTTTCACAGAAACAATTATCATGATTTGTCTTAGTCTCAATCCGTATCGAGTAGACTTCTTCCTCCAACATAAATAACATCGAAAGACAATCTCATCACGATAGTCTGAACAAGGTACTGCGGTCATTTGATTACCGCAGTCACAAATAAAGGAATTTCTTAATGGTCCCATCTGTTGTAAGCGCTCAAAAATCACGTCTTCTTTAAAGTCCTCTGTAATCCGATCGTACGTGAGCATCAGGTACTGCAATTGGAGCCGTGATCTTGAAATCCCTCAGATACTTCTGATTGGCTGGTCCATAAATTAGAGTCTCACCACTTATCATCAAGAGGAAGAAATAATTTGAATAAAGCAATCACTAGATATGTCCTGAACTCCGGTTGAGACCTTGGAATCTTACAAATTAATCGATGAACAAACAACCTCCAATCTTCTGACGTTTGCTGTTGCTATCAGATGTCAAAGAACTGATTTAATATTAATTTTCATTTCATTTAGCAATTTTAATTTCTTAACCAACTAAGCTTTACTAATTCTATTCTTACTTATTACTAGGTTTTTCTTATTGAGCAATCTACTGAATTCTAACTCTTCGATTTCATTTTTTTAATGCCAATATTGTTGAATATTGTTTGTTTTTTGCATGTTATGTACATTTGAAATTCTATTTAATTGCTTAAATCTATCTAAATCTTTGTTACACTATGCGGATATATATATTAACACCGGAATTCAACAAAAGACATTGATCGAAGTATTTTCAACTCATTTTGTATTAATGATTTTTAAATACGACAGGTTGGAAACAACTGATAAGAATCTAACGTAATAAGATCAGCTCACTTCTTTGTTCATATTATCTTTAGAATGATGAAATTAAATACATATAAAACGTTTCTCACTAAGTTGATTGAAATATCATAAATTTTGGTATCACAATTAGGCAATGTTTTAGTACAGATAATGAAAAATGAGTTTCAGCTTTTAGTGAACTCCACTATTAATCAGTATAATATAAATCAATAAAAATCATCTCATGAACCGCAAAATTATTGCCATGCATTAAGAAAGTGCATTTCAGAGCCACTTATTTACTCTCTTACTCCTGTACACTTAGTGGGTGAGCATAGGCTGCCAACCAGGATTCTCCGTTGAACAGTGTCTTCCTCTATTCTTTCCATTTCCTATTTATTATTTTGATATCTACCTCTGATTCCCCACACAATGTATTCTTTGATCCTTCTCTTGATTATCCAGTAAACCACCAGAAGAAAGAGAAGTCCGTATAATTTTGACTGTCTTCTCAGCTACTCAAACCATAGTGTCCAAGGAGGTTCCATAATATTCACTTATCCGCCTTCTCATAGACAAGAAAGTTGATGTATAGTGAGGAGTTCCATTCAATTGATTGTTCAACGATGATTTGTGCATGACCGATCCTCAAGGAATCCGGTCCGTTGATCTCGAAGTTGGGTGTTCACTGCGTCTTTCATCCAGTTCAGTAACACTTTGTTAATGACTTTTCCTGGTACTGACAGTAGTGTGATGCCTCTGCAGTTCTCACATTTGCTCTGATCTCCTTTCTTTGGTATTTTGATCAAGTGTCCGTCTTTCCAATCTGTCAGCGACACCTGTTCTTCTTCACAAATATTTCTGGACAGAGTGTGAAGCATGCTTGCAGTTATTTCTATGTTTAACAATAATGCTTCGGCTCGTATATTGACAGGTCGTATCGCTTTCGCACTCTTGATTTATCTCATGACAATGCTGGTTTCTTCGATCTTTGCTGAGGTAACATCTTTGGGACATCTATTGTAGGGTCAGTATGTGCTGCTTCGATGTTCGCTGGGCTCAGTGGTGTTGGTCTATTTGAAAGTACTTCAAGGCGTTCTTCTCTCCAGTTCCACTCTTCCTAAATCCCAGTAATTGTCTTGCCTTCTTTATTCTTGACCATTCTATCTGTGTTACAATATTTCCCTGATAGGTTCTTCGTTGTGTCATATAGTTGTCTTATATTTCCTTCTGTTGTAGCTTTTTCCGCTGTCGTTGCTAGCTCTTGCACGTACTTCTGCTTGTCGGCTTTAATACTCCTCTTGAGTTACTTGTTTGCTTCAATGTATTCAGCTTGTGTCTTGACCTGCTCTGTTTTGTTCGACTGTTGTTAATTGCTGTCGTCTTGTTCTCCCTTTCTGGAATCCTGTACAGGGTTTTGATAAGGATTCTTTCCTTATGATACTAGTTGCGGTCCAGCACCTCTTGAGACGCTGGAGTTAATGCTTCGTTGATATGTTTCCAGTTGCCCTCCATAGCAGTTTCTTCTTCCAATAAATCCTGTAAGGCTTAGAACCTGTTGTTGAAAGTTGTCTTGAATTCGTTGAGTTTGTCAATATGTTGTGGGAAGGCTATATTGAACCTTTATAATCCTGTTTGCTCAGGGCTTCTTTAGCTTCAGTTTGATCTTGGCAACCACCAGGTAGATTGTGATCATAATCTATATAAGCTTCTCCCCTATTTCTCAAGCCTGCCAGTGACCTTGCGAATTTTTTTATGATGCAAATGTCATCTATGTGATTCTCTGTAATGTGATCTAGTACGATCTATGTAGCTTTGTGCATGCGTTCGTGTAGGAGTATTGCGCTGCCAATGACTGGTTTGCCGAATGCACATCAATTTGCAAAGCTGACACCATTGTAGTTGATTTCTCCCATCCATCCTATGTCGTCTCATAACATCTTCACAACCGTTGTTTTCCATTCCGACTTTGACGTTTAGACCTCCCATCAGGATTGTCAGGTCTTTTCATGGGTAGTTCTCTACGATCGATTACAGACTCTCTTAAAAATGTTTCTTATGTCTTCTTTTGCTATTTTTGATAGTAGCATAATACCGAATAGCATCCATTGTAATACCATCTTTCCTTGTTTTGTCGGATGCTTTCATGATTCTGAGTCCATGAGATTCTCATCCTACAAGTACTTTACACGCTTCTTTGGGCAGCATCAACAAGTCGTTTTGTGGTTGTGCGAAATATTTTTTTCTTCGTTACTAGAGTATAGCGGCATCTCTCGCGAGTCTAATCTTTTCTGTCTTACTTGCTTCTAATGGATTTCACTTATGCCAAGCACTACCAAGGTGTATCTTCTCATTTCCGTAACTATTTGACTGGTCCTTCAGATCTCCAACGTTGTTCGGACATTCCATTTACCCATATTAATTGTTGTTCTGGTTGTTAGAAGGGGCATCGACCTCGTGAATTCATAAAAAATCTTACTTAATGTTAGTTTATTAGACAAATTACCTCATTCATTTATTGGGTGTCTTAAAATATTTCAACCCTAACTTGGTAAACGACGATGTTGTAAACAACACTGATTGTTTTGGGGAGAAAGACATTTAGCTTGAAGACTGTAGTAATCTTTAAATTATTTTAAGTAGTAATATCATCGGTAAAAAATTGAGTTATCTATTAGCTTCGTCACTGAACATGTCTGAGGTCGAATTTAACGGTATTCACATATTTTGTTTGCTAAAGAGAAATTAGATGTAACTTTCGTTGCGAAGTATATAATTATGATATTATAAACACTTGTAACCTCCCTTTAACTGATGTTAAGGACTAAAATCGATGAACTACTTTAATCAAACATCTATCTATGGCAGATTACTTCAATGTTGCCACTTATTTACAGACTATCTTAAGCAGAGTTTGACAATTGCTAGCCGTGGAATCCAGGATACGGGTTTCATCCAGTTTGTGACTAATCAACTAGATTTACCTAAATTCATATTAACATCCACACTAAAACTAAACACTAACCAACTCTTCTTAATAAGGCTTGTACTTTTATTATTTATTATTTATTTTAAGACATAGATATTGGTACAAAGAGGCACCAAATACATATGCGCCACACAGATCTCATTTGATATGAGTGAGGGCTGTGAGACTTCCCGGGTGCCCAAACCGAAACAGGTGGTTTTCGTAGGGGGCCTTTCCCGAGCCTTCGACCTGAAGATATGATCCACAAGGCAGTGGAGCATCATAAGGAGATGTAGTCCCATGGTGTCCGGTGACCAACGATTGGTTCATACGTCATTTGTTCCCGCAGGATACTGGATCCCATGTACACTATTGGTTTGAAATCCGGTTAAAGCGCCGGACATTTGCTTTTCGTCCTCTCATTTTCGTAAACAACACCCCCGTCACGAGAAGGAAGTGAGTAGGACTTCTCTGGCAGAGGCCATATACGCGTGGCCATGTGAGAGCATTTCAAGAGGGAGAGCGGACTATCCCTACTCTCGGCAGTACCAGGGCATTTGGGGGCCTGTACTTTAATTGGACTCAATTAGATTTTCCAGCTTGAAATTGCAACAGTTATTGATTATTGTGGTCACCCAAATCTTAAGGTATGTCTTTTTTTGTATTTTTTCCCCCTTGAAAGTACTAAATCACCACAAAAGTATTGATTTTTAATATTATTCAACTGATGTGTTATGTTGACATAGAAACGTTTAGACTATAATCACAAAACTATGAAAAATAGATTATAGTGAATTCATTCATCATTGGTATACTAATTGCCAATTTGAATGTGTCAGTATAAATCATACTTTACACTAAAATAACTAAAAATACAATTTTCATTGTTTCTATTTTGTTTTAATTAGGCTTTAGAAGATCCTATTTGGAATCAATATTTCAAAATGATTACTATTAAAGCATTTGGTGATGAGATTGCATTATCACATTATGCATTTAGTTTTATTATTTATTATGCAACTGGTTGTAATTTTCGTCAACGTGTACATCAATTATGCAAAAATGTATTTTATAAATTAGGTTTGTCGTTGTCATAAATTAATGAAACTTGGTATAAATGAAGAAAGTGATAATAATAATAATATACCATCAATTACTCGTCGTTCACATAATCGTTTATTAACTAATCATGATAGACAAGATGATCTGGATTTTACAATTCATACATCATCACAATATCGTCAATCAAAAAAATTGATTGATTATCAAAAATCAATTGAAATGGATCAATCTATAGAATCAAAGTAATACAAATTTATTTAAATCATCTAGTATATATCAAAAAGTAGACTTCAATGAATAAATCAATATCTTCAAGAGATAATGCCATGAAGAACATAAAAAGTGTTGAATATCTTAAATGTTCATATTGTAATTCCTTGATGTTATACATCGAATATACTTGAAAAATAATTAGACTTCAAAGAGTAAGCAAACAAACATCACAAAAGACTTCTACAAGAAAGTTCAAGACAAAAAATCACTGTCAAACACAGTACAAACCATAAAACAATATTATAGTCTGATATGAATGTAATCAAATTGCTTACTATAATAAACACAATATTAAAATACCATAGAAATGATTATTTTTTTTTAAAAGCAAAAAAAGCTTATTTTGTTGGTTCAACCCAAATTTCTTTCTATATTTTCTTTTTCTTCTTTTTCTGTTGGATACAAGATTAAGGCATTTTGAATTCTGGTACTATTGTTTCTTTGCTCCTTGATTTCATCGATTGACAGTTAATATATATATATATAATCGGTTAAGATTAAAATGATCCACTAGCAATGAAACATTTAAACCAATTAGTCCCTTTTGATAAATTTCGATAATGTAATAAAAGATAAAAAATGATCCGAACTATGTGACGGTATATTAACCCAATCACATAGTTCTGATAATCTATATATTCTTATTACATGATCAAAATGAAATATTGATTTCCTTTCATTTTGATACATTTATTAAGTGCATTATATGTTCATGATTTCATTCATGATTATTTCTAAAACGTCTTTGTATATATGAACGTGTGTAAAACAAAATCACTACCACCACCACCAACAACAACAAGATAATAATAATAATAATAGCCATAGCAACTATTATTATTATGACTATTTGCATATATCTTGTCATTTATTAATGTATTTCTTATTTATTTTCTTTAATTAAATAATTAAATTTTGTGTTCATTCAATAGGTTTCAAATGTGAATAGTTTCATTGAATTCTATCCAACATTTTTAATATTGATACTTCAATTACATATTTTCTTTGTTGTTGTGTATTATCCTATTAAAAAAAGATAAGAATTGATAGAATAAAATATGCATAAGATGAATATATCACAGATGGTAATAAATGACATAATGATTAAGCATTTTAATGCATAAGGTTTATTGTGTATGATATTGATATATCTACTTATATTCTGGTTAGTATGAAAGTACTTTATAAAGTTATTATTAGTTGAATGGTACTTGAGACCTATGACGGAGATTTTAGAGACCGTTAAATGATTCGAAGAATTTCTATCCAATCAAAATCAAATTCAGTGAATTATACTCTTGTATTAAAGATTACTTTCTTTGAATCAGATTTGTGTAAATCAATTTGAGAGAAGAGTTAAAATCTTCCCTCACCTTTTTTTTCCAGATATTTATGAATTACTTCAAATTGTTCAAGCCTAATCATTCATTCACTATAAATCGTCAACAAAAATTATTATTTTCAACTATTTTTCTTTTAAGCAAAGATGAATAGTAGCTAGCAGTGGAATCCATGACGTGCGTTTCGTCCTATTTCGGACTTGTCAGCTGGATATACCTGAGTCTTAGAGTTGATATTCAATCTGGGACTCGAACCAAGTACCACTCGCTTCCAACACCATCAAGTTATCCACCTAACTACTGAGTGCTGATAGCTACCTGTTTGTGCAATGGTGTGAAGTTTAAATTCACTTTGTGTTGTTCTACTTGTATCTTCCCACTATTATTTAAGACTGCAAGAGATCAGTCTTTTTGTTGACAACAATGCAAATATCTTTTAATGTAAAAATTGTTTACTCATAATTGAAAAATATGAAAGAGATTGAAATCAGTGTAGTGAGATTTTAAAGTAATGGCCATAGTAATATTTTTAAACAATGAGCCTAAAAAATCTAGAATGATTTATGTTAATCATAGTCAAATCAAAATGGAATATGTGCAGAATATAATGATAAACGATTTATGAATGTTATTTGTTTAATCAAGGTATAGAAATCTAGTTTATTAAATGGAACAAATAATAAATGATTAGTTTCTATGTTAAATAATTTGATTTCATATCATTTCTAGTTTATTCGATAGGAAAATTATTGAGATAGGTGCGAGACTATAATTTTTGAATGAATCAATCAGGTATAAGAGAACAGGTTTCGGATTTTATCGGGACATTCACTCATCAATTTGGCAAAATAGAGTTTTAGCATTATAGTTGATGTTAGTTCGTGATGGAAACCCTAAATTTAATTCCTAATCTTAATTGTCAACTGTAAATCAAAATTTGAAGTCCTCATACAGGTATATAATACTCATTTGATCGTATCATCGTCAGTCCAGCGTCGCTTAAAGGTCGTCCATAAATTATAGTCTCACCGTGATATGTTAGAAATAACTAGTGAATATATAAAGGAGACACGAGTTTGTAAACTGAAGTAGCAAGATTTTACACCTATCTACATGATCTATTTGTCTACCAATGTGACATATGATATTTATACATTCTTGCTATCTTCTTAAAGAAACCAAGCTAAATATTAAGTTTTCTTCCTTTGATTATTAAAACTGGTGATCCCTGTATGAGAATAACACTATGCTTCGAGGAACGATTTTGACGGAGAGGTTTCTTTCTATAATCACTCTTCAGTTGTTTTATACTATTGCTATACTGCTGATATCATATTATGCGTTATTGAATGTACTCTAGTGATATATATTTCGCTGGATGCGATTGTAGGTAAATTACCAACCAGAAAATTCTTGGAAAATATTGCTCACGCTCTAATTAGATCAAATTATTACCTACTTACTTAGTTACGCATGTTACCCATCGCCGATGAGCATGTGTCACCCACAAGCATTCTTCACCCAACTATATCCTGCGCAATTCTTTCCAGTCGCTATTGATTTTTTTCATGTCTGTTTCCAAATTTCGGCGCAGCATGTACTTTGATCTGAAGGGAATGAGCTTCAGAATTTCAAGTTAGCACGTGCTTCGTGATGCAGTGTGGTGATTTGCGTAATGTATGTTCTATCCATTTCCAACATCTTTTCCTAATTTCTTCCTCAGCTGGAAGCTGATTTGTTCTCTTTCACAGTAGACTGTTGCTGACGGTATCCGCGCAATGTATATTGGGTATCTTGCGAAGAGAACTATTTATAAATACTTGTACCTTCTTGATGATGGTTGTTGTAGTTCTCGAAGTTTCAGTTCCGTAAAGAAGAATTAACTGTCTTGACATTGGTATTGAAGAGTCTGACTTTGATATTGATTGGCAGTTAGATTATATTATTGGACAGAAAATATTTTTTTCTATTAAAGTATTGGTGAAGTGTTCTTAAAATTATTCAGTAATTCTTTTGATGAATTAAGTTATCAATAAAAATAATCGGAAGGTAAGAAATATTCATGTTGTATTTATTTTTAACTGAAGCTTCAACATTTAGGACAAAACATTTTTAAATTACGAAACTTTAGTAACAAAACTTTCTCGATAGCCTTTGTTAATTAAATCTTGTCCAGTTGTCAACTTAAAAAACTAGCTAGTATAAATCCAATTAGTTTATTACACTTCACATATGTATTTGGTATAAATGAATATGAAAATACAATCATTGGGGCCCTTTAATTTTGTTGTCGTTTTTATCGAACGATGCTGTCGAAAGGGCTCTCCACTTTAGTGGCCCGTAGATTCGACTCCAAGGTGATCTTAATGATGATTGTTGTTGAAATATATATGTCGCCTATCCTCGTATATAATCATCAAATTAAATCGAGTCAGTCAATAACGGAATTAAATAAGTCGAATAACGAGAATGGACTTATGAATACATATATTTTCGTATATAAAGCGAATGGAATAGAGAGAAGAGAAACACGCAGAATGGAGATGGCTGGTAAGCCTACTCACATTTTACCAAGCCCTGATCAATATTTATGGTTACACAAAAGTAAGTTACAGACATGCGATAAGTAATGGGATAAGAAATGTACACACACCTACGTGCTCATATAAAAACAGTCAAGATTGATAAGCGAATAAATAACTAGGTGAGAATGTGACTCAAGTAAAATGAATAGAATGGTCTGTCCGAAAGCTAGAATAAGGTATGTGGGCTTAACATAATAACCGACACTACAAATCTATGTGACTGATTCAGTCGACTGCTATTCGATATTTAGGAAGAAAACAGGCGATTCAGCGAAAAAAATATCTTTTCAACGACATCATTTAATTAAACTATACAATCATATTTATAGTTAGTTCCTTGGTAAGATAGAAAGGTGTTAATTTTTAAAAAAATCCTTAAAGTTGTATGTTGTCAAGATCTGAATGTCAGTTGCTGAAAGGAAGCTATGCAACAAATGGTTAGTTGACAAGTGCTTAGATGAAAATAACTGTTTACTTGATAGTTTTAAACAACAGAACAATTTGAGACTTAATTTAGAATCTAAACTATATTATACACTGAATTGTATAGTGGATCAAAAATAAATAAAAGCTGTCTAGGAACTGTGAATAATATCGATTACAAAGCGATTATAATAAAGTTTCTTCATTTCATCGCGATTCATTGACTTTAGTCTCTATCATCAATCACTTTTTAGAATATCAGTATTATTGATCAATGTAATTAAGGACTTTTTAGATCCCACTTGAGAAATTATGATTTCATGTATATAATCTCTGAGAATAAATAAACAATTTTCTGGAAATATTACAAACTGTATGCCATTTTACAGGGATGATCCGGCTGATACCGGTAGCAATGTTGTGTAAAGGAAAAATTCATAATTTAAATTGTTTGAACTAATATAACTCATAGGTTATTTTGGAAGTAGATTTACTAAATGGACTACAACAGTGTGAGGCATCTGTGTACGGACTGAGGCATGCTATTGTTGCATGAATAATTCATCCAAGGTCATTTCCAGTTACATAACAGAGTGATTTCATTCATCTTTAACTCGAAAAAATA